GAAATATTCTAAAATTGAAACAATTTTTTGTTTGCCTGCTCACTATTTCTGATTCTCTCTTTAATGTCTTTTATACGTACTCTTTATAGTAACCGAAGTAGATTTAGTTATTGGGTCATTTGGTGGTAACCAGAAACAATCCATACAAAAACACCAGTTCTTAATTGTCAATTGGCCATGCTTTTTGAAATCATCTCTTGAAATGCAGTCTTAGATATTTATATGGAAAATTATCGATACGAGATATAATTATTTTGTAATAGAACGTGTATATCTTGGGGGAAAACATAAGATAATATGTTTATAGTCAAATGTGCTTTTCTGGAAAGGAGAGATCAATGTGGTTCTGATATAGTCTAACATAATTGTTCTAACTGATCGATGTTCTTGAAAAAAATATTTTACTTTTTATTTGTTGACATTATATGCGAATGTAAATTTACCATTTGCAATGTACCATCGAGTTATGTAACTGTGAAACGCGGGATTTGATGAACTAATTGTCTCATGCAATTAAAATATCAATGGAAATACTTCTTCGTCTACTGTATTTGTAAGGATATTCGGGATACATATGATCAAATTATGATGCTATTAAATATTGAATATGTATTAAGATACGCGAATGACTTTCTAAGAGGAGATACCGGATAATACTTTTGCAGAATTAGCACGTATTGTGCCCTATGAGATTTGAAACTTGAAACTTAATATAAATAATCCATGGAGCAATCAAACACACGAGATTATTCAAACACGGTAAAGAAACATATCACATAAGTTATCTTTTTGCACTACCCTGACCAGATAGAATAATATACGTCATAATTCACAGTTGCGTACATCACACGCTTATCATGACCATCGAGTACATGCTATTATAGATTTTGGGGAGAAGTTCAATGAGAAAATGAAATATTATCTAAGATTAAAGGCTTGGCCATGAATATTTCTTAACATTGATTTCTGATTTCCCCAATAACGCATATCGCATTACTTGACTGTCGTACATCCCGTTGATTTGTTTAAAAGTTAGTGTTAAATCCAGGAGCTGTGTTATATATCAATCGGGGATAAATATTGACCATATTATATATGCGATATTTGAGTGGATTGTGCATACATTCTTGTGCAGAACTTGGTGTTGATTTCTTGCGTTATCGGTTTATGCAACTACAGTAAAACACATATAATAGAGTATACATATGAAAGAGTGTTTCACTTAGGAGGTGCTCAATTTACAGAGGTTCATTTAACATATTAAGTAAATGGGTATCGAGATTTGGAAATGTTTTTCACTTATGGAGGTGCTCCACTTTTAGGGATATTTCAATTTACAGTTTTTTTTGTTAGTTTTTGTTATATCCTCTAATTGACTGTATCGGGTTCGAGTCCTATAGCCGCACATGTGTTAACTTATGAATCACGAATTATTGTAAATATAATTATGTGGCACCTAATACTCCCTCTTGTGAGGCACTATAAATTGTAAATATGTTACATTGATTTTAATTAAAAAACTATGATGGCAAAAGTCCCATCATTATAACTGTCAATCAAGAAACAATTTTCAATTATTTAGATTAAAAACCAATTGCTGAATAGAAGTATATTATTTCAATTATATCAAATTCATTTAGAGGATTGTTAACGTTCATTCGGATTGATTAAACGTTTGATGTCTGTTCATCAGATAATTATTTCAATCTTTATTTCCTTAAAGGCCCCGTGCAATGTTGAACGTATTGCTAATCATATTTATATGATTTAAAAAATCGTTTATTGGTTATCATATTTGTTCCTCGTTTATTGACCTATGTTTCGTTGTGTTTAAAGTGTTTAGTATCTTGTTTCTTGATCAGTATTCCACATCTTCTTTAAACCATCGCTCATATTATATCTCTCCTCTCATTACTTTATTCGCAATGGGATTTGTCCATTGTTGGTAAGCACCATCAATTTAATAAAATAGTGATTCTGACATGCAAAGATGCCTTGACAATTATGGGAGTGTTAAAGCTGTTTTAGTAATGACTATGTCCTTTTTTATTTAATTGTTTTTATTTCAGAGACCATGTCCTTTTGACAATATCCTTCATTTTTGGTATTTGATCAAACAATGATAAGTCGCACTTTTTGATACTATCCCATAGAATTGATAGAGTTATAATAATTATCCCATCGAGCGAAGTTCGGTGGGATATAGGGAACGCCTCCGCCCGTCCGTCTGTCCGTCTGTAGGTATACTGTCTAATGACACTTTTGGAAGAAGGCGGCCATTTTTCAAAATTTTAACTCGAAAAGTAGTGGAGCGATTTTGTTCATATTTGGTATGTGGATATTATAAGCATTGCACACTGTCTAATGGCACTTTTGGTAGAAGATGGCCATTTTTCAAAATTTTAACTCGAAAAGTAGTGGAGCGATTTCGTTCATATTTGGTATGTGGATATTATAAGCATTGCACACTGTCTAATGGCACTTTTGGTAAAAAGTGGCTATTTTGAAAAATGGCTGCCATTTTTGCTATATACTTTGTTTGTAAAAATACCAGCCATGGCTGTTCGATGGAATTTGCTACGCTTTGGCGTTGCTGTTGTCTAGTTGATTATTAATTAATACGTTAAGAATACATAAGGGTTATGTACTGGGAGGTTTTGGATACAGGTTTTATCCCAAGGGAAATATGTGTATATCCCGAGGGACCGCAGGGACCGAGGGGTATACACATATTTCCCGAGGGATAAACCCTGTATCCAAAACCGACCGTACATAACAGATGTATTTCATACCTACTGATGTTCTAGGTACGTCATATACCTTATAAAGTTCCAAAATTCAAAAATATACTTAAGATACGCATTTTCTTGGTGTTATAAAGTGGTTTTTTAAGTTTCTGAGATTTTCAAACTCATATAACTCATATAACTCATATTTTGAAAAATAAAATTTGAAAAATAAATTTGAATAATTTTTTTTTTAAATTGTGAAAAAAAAATTCAGGAGCGGGACCGGGATGGATACACGTATATCCATCCCGCCCCGGGCCTTGGCTAGATACAGTATATATTCCCGCTCGTTATGTACCTGATGGAATTCATTTTTTGATTGTTTTGATATTGCCCACGTTCTGTATATACCTTGGAAGATTGAGTCACAATTAAAAACAGTCGCATTATTTTAATTTTTATATAAGGTTAGCTTTACGCCTGATATAAACATTCCATATTAGTAGTTTCCTTTTCACTCCATCTTCACCTCTATATTCCCCACCATCCCCACTCTGGGCTCGTTTATCAAGTGCGGCCGGGGGTCGAGTCACAATCACAGTCGTGTTATTTTAATTTTTCATATAATGTTAGCTTTGCGTCTGATATAGACATTCCATATTAATAGTTTCCATTCCTTTTCACTCTTACCCCATTCTCAAATCTCTACCCCCCCCCCCCCCCTCCATCTCCACTCTGCTCCACTCTTGGGAGATTGATGTCACAAATTCAGTTGTAGTATTCGTTTAACGTATGATACATACAAACAGGTGCTATCATCATGATATTTATTCTTTAATTAATATCTACTGAGTCCCAATACTCAGTTCTTCAAAGATAACAGCTTTAAATCAGGCGATAATGTGATGAGTAAAATACTCAATTTCCTTATTGGCTATAATAAACAATGGTTAAACCCTAGAGAGGTTTAATTAAATGTGAATAACAGGTAAGAGATAAATATTTCCATTTTAGGATCATGAAACCGGCTGTGAAAACCTTTAATCATTATCCTTGTCCAAGATAATAAAATGTCTTTGCATACGACAGATAAGTTAAAAGATCAAGCGGAAATATTTTTAATCAAAGAAATTATTTGCATAGTGTTAACAATTTTCCTTTCTGTCTATTAACTTTCCACAACTTTAAGCCAAATTCCAACCCACTGTGTGACGATCAAATTAATTTGATGTGTGTAATAATAAAGTATTAAAACGATATTCATTATAAGATTACATCAAATAAGGTACTAGTATTATTTCTTTTAAACATGCACGTAATTTCCGTTTGTTTTATCTTTATATTGAAATATATCCAATAGTTATGAACATGTAAGAAATCCCCTAATGATTACCCTCGTTGACCACTTACATGTGCAAAGCACGTCGCATCTTACACCGCCTTCAAGCCAAAGTATGCCTAGCCATGCCCAAACTACATAAGCGTCTAAACTTGCAAAATCGTTATCAGCAAGCTCCATCATGATCAGACTACCATTCACGTTTCTCATGTCTAGTCATGTTTAAACTTGTTTTATCACGCCTAAACTTGCCCAGTCACTTTTTGTGCCAAATTACGCATAAACTTACCCAATAACGCCCAACATTTAGCATACTTTCGAATAAACGTATCTTTGATAATCATTGCACAATTGGCGAATCAACCATGAACATTGAACAAGCCAAATCACACTCGACACTCGTAATCCCCGTCCCTAGAGACGCCAATATATGATGTTTAAAAAGCTCGGGCTGTCTTTTTGATTAATGAGAGCAAGTTGTACCATATAATAAAATCAAATACTACTAAAGCTGTGTAGTAATTGGATACAAATATAAAATGTAATAAAATATAAGTTATGAATAGGCCTATTACCTTGATCAACTTTCGCAGTCAATTGGGTCGAGCATCTACAAAGGACTATCTTGAATTTCGTGGAACATTCAACAAGTTTTCAAACAAAGTTTGAGAACTGGTCCACAGTCTTTCCCCACAAACATAGTGTGTGATCGGCATGGTCAGATTTGATGTGTCCGATTTGTTACTTAAGAATTGTATTTGTTAATTTGTATCTAAACGTTTTTATATATCCAGCCAAAAAACGCAGCCTTCCTAATTGGGAATACATTTCTCAATTAATAAGTTATCAATGAGAAGGTTGCCTTCGGTCGCCCTGTTAAATACATCCATGGTTTTTGACCACTAATCAACGCAACTATTTTGTCTTTTCAGATGTGATGGAGATCCAAATAACAAATGGAACAAGCAAAACATCAACATCACGAAACTATTGGATTCCATGACAGAGAGTTATGATAAAAGACTTCGTCCAAGCTTTGGAGGTGAGTAAATTAAAGGTTATGTGTAAAGATGAAAATATTTTCACTCCTTTCTAAGCCTCATTATATCACGTTACCGTGCATATGTATTAGTGATTGTTATTTACACACTTCAAATGGATACTCAACGTCCATTCCTTGTAAGGAAAACAGAAATTGACAAAATATTGACGTAGTGTTGATTTTTTATGTTTACACATCAAAAGCAGTGGGTTAGCCAATCTCACGAACTACACTGTTTTACATCCGGGTCTGTCGCCATTTTGTATTCAAAATGGGTCCTTTGTTCAAATTCTCAATTCCTCAAAAAATCGTGCACAAATTTACAAAACTAGGGTGAATTTGCCAACACGTCTAGTATGAGAAATGGTAAACGATAGCTTGTAAATCACATATCTGTGTAAATTACCTTTTAGTGTGTTCTACAGATTATATTTACATATTCCCTATTTTAAATCAAAACATAGAAACTGTAACAGCTAGTCTTTTAATCAATGACATTCCCCTACATGATTAACGCCTTTACTGTTACGCAATTACAAGTAATATTCTAGAGTAGAAAATTGCATTTTAGCATTACTCTCTACATTGAACCCATATAATGGAAAGACGAAATTTTATCTTTTTACTGTGGTAATTCTTTATCGTTTCTGTTGATCCCCAATCATAGAATGAACTAAACAAATGTTTATATCATGAGACAAATGATTCTTTGACACAACATGAACCCATAAAACACAAAGGGTCTGATTGCAAGGTGAATGATCTCCATAATTCCCCTGCTATCTCTGTCTTTGTCATTTGTATCTTCTTATAAGCTTATATGGAATTAGCGTTTGTGGCATTTTCACAATTATATTATGACAAAACAAACTGATTGTCTCGTAATCCTAGCTTGTTGTTGTATTTCGTGTCTTTGATATCAAATCTGTCATCAACATACAATTCTACTTCACCGGTGTAAAATAAATTATGGTCCCCCGGGGATTATGGTCCCCTTTCTTAACAGCCCTTACTGGCCTTGAATGTGTATATGATAATAAAGAAAAGAGTTGTTTTAGGTCACAATATAAATCAATGGAGAGAAGGAATATAATTTGATAGGACCTCCTAGTTACACCGGGTCTACGAGAATCTCTTCAGTGTATCATTGCAACACCATACTTCGTCATTCAAGAAATATAACCATTTTGAAAAGCCATTTTAAATTGTAAATTCATTGTACATTCATGGCCGAAATTGTCACAATTAAAGGTAGTTTTTCGGACAGTGTAGATGAGAACGTTTTCGCTAAGGATAAGTAACCTGTCCAAAAATCCTTTAGCGAGACATTGTAAATTCCTAAAATGAACAAGTTCTTGAATTAGAGACCAAATCATAGTGCCAAGAAGGGGGTATATGCTGACAGTATACGTTTCCTTTTTTCATGACTAGATCAAAACAAATGAGGGTTTCCATAAATGTTTAGATTATAATTCAAATAAGTATAATCGTCACCATTGTCCCATGGGTTTAAAATGGTGCAATTTCCTGTTTTAAATAGAAGACTAATTTAGGACTGACAAAAAATGTTAATATCGTAGAAAATCTTTATTTTAATGGTGATTTTGTCTGATGAGTTTCCTTGGAAGAAAAGAGCTAATAAATCATCAAGTGCTGTTTGCCATTTCTTACTTCCGGTTGATTCTGAAAAGTGTGTTGTTTAATGTCAAAAGAAACGTTGTAATTATAACTAGTATTGTGATGAATGACATCATTATGATATCATTATGTGATGCTATTCTATGGTAACATATTCCTGAAACAGTAAATACTGATTATCATCTAGCATTCTGCATTCAGTATGATTGCGTTTTGCTTTTGGAACCAGGTCGGGGCTGTACTTCCAGTTATCACGAACTTTACCACGAATCTATCATATTGTACTAGCTCATATTCACTCATCAATTGGCAATCATGAGCAGTAAATGAAATTTTACCAAACTTCGTTAAATTCGTTTGAATCAAATAAATACCAAATCCAAATTGATAAACAGAAACGTATTTATTGAGTAACGTAACGACCAATAAGTGCTTTGCCGCGCATTGCCACGTGGAAATATTTGCACTAAAATGGTCATAAGCAAAACGGTTGTGCAAACGTCATCGATACAAGAGTATTTACACACGTTTTACGATCAATCTAGTTCAACAGTTCGTTTGAGAAAAAGTAATCTGCTCATCCATTGTATTTGAATCGTTTGTTAATGTGTGTGACTTTAGTGATAGATTTCATAGATCATGGGTCACGATCACACTGATCTAGAACTATTTCAATTGATTTATAAAGTGGTAATGGGATCCGGGGACTCTTTTAAGTTGAAGAATTCCGCTAAGAGAACCCCATAACATCAGAATATCAAATTAGATTAATCAAAATTAATGGAAACAGAGAACCGGATTTCCAGCATGTCACAATGGATGTGAATAGAATTCTCGAGGAAAGGTTTAGCAGCACTAATATTGCACCAAAAATAATATTGTACCAATAATACGTATCATCGTATGATCTGTAAAGGGAAGCCCTCTGATTGGTCAGTTCTTGTGCTGTACCAATCTGTATTGCTACTGAGATTGTCCCCGTTGATCATCTCCGTCGCAATACAGAAAATATTGGTACGGAGGGGACAATACAGTAACAATACAGAGGATCACACGATAAAAACGTTATTGAATGATTTGAAGTGCAATACAGGATATATTCTGTCTCGATATTCTGTATTGGCACTCGACTTCGTCTCGTTCCAAGACAAAATTTCCCGAGCAGAATATATCCTGTATTGCACTTCAAGTCATTCAATACCTTAAACTTAAACATTTTGAGTGAATGCCTAGATATCATTGTCCAACTTTATACTGGAAAGAATTAATTAAGGACTTTAATTGTTTTTTGTAATTGTATTGTATCCTCAATGCAAAAAATGTTAAAAGTCTCTCAAAGCCTGTTCCGGTTGGGCTGTTTGTATTATCATTACTCAACTATCTTATCTATTTTATGTGATATATTTTACAGCGTCAGACATCCAACCTACATCATCCAAGGAACATTAGACAAAAATATTAAGAATTTATTTGTACGTATCATGGTGCCAGATGTGGGATCAAAAGATAAGTAGTCCTTTGCGCCCGTGTGTGTGCGGTAAGTCTGCAATGGGAAAGCAAACAATCACAATCATCCATATTTATCCAACGTATACACTACTTATACAGTAAAACCTGTCTAATCCGAACGCTATTGGGACCGGCTTAACGAGGCGTATAGCCTTTTTATATTTTAGTGAAACCACTTAGTAAGATTACGATTTCTCTGCAACCTGATGTCCAATCAAGATCATTCAAGTATCTATGTGTTCCTGACACGTTTGGGCGTCCCAGGAATAGCAACGTCTACCCAAAGTTTGCACGCGAAATTGACGTTAACCTGGACATCAGGGTGCAGAGAAATCGTAATCTTACTAAGTGGCTTCACGAGCATTATAGCATTATAGCTAAACGCGTTCAGATTAGGGGGTGTTCACATTTCGAGGTTTTTGCAATCGCAAGATTCCGGATACTTAAGAAATGTGAACACATTCTCAGTACATATTTATAGCTCATTTGACTACATAGCTTTATGGCTTTTCAGAAATTTGAAAATTTGATTCAAATGAATCTAGTCATACTGGAAAGACCTATCATAATCAAGACCATTCAAGTTTTTTCCCAAAGTTATAATATGGTAACAATATTTGAGCAATTTTGTATGAAACATGTGAAATTTTATGAAAAGTGTTCAGACTAGACAGGTTAATTTTTCAAATATGACTCTTCACTGTTCAAATTGAGAGGTGTTCTCATTTCAAGTTTTTTTAACATGGGAGTCAATGGGAGGAAAAAATGGGACCGAAAAAAGTGTTCAGGCTCTACTGTATAATAATTTGCGAATAATAATATGCGAATTGGCTCCTAAAACATTTTTGGTCATTAAAGGTGTATTTTACCAGGTAAATTGATGACTCTCTTACAAACTTATCAGAAAGCGTTAATGACTAATTTCGACCCTTGTAACAAGAATCCCCATCATTATTTATATGTTTTTCCTACCGGACGTGACCTTGGATCTTGAAAGAGTTATTGGTGTAAAACATGAAAACTTCTGTGAGGTCCGAGAGACCAATCTGCGGAAGCTTTCAACTGTGCTGTCAAAAATGTGTGAACTTGGTGTAGGATACGTCCAAAACAAGTCCATTAGAACACTTGTTGAACTAATCAGGTCCAATGAACGCCTCTTGTGAACACGAATGTCAACATTTCGGGAAAACATCAACCTTTAAATGACAGAAAAAATAAATTAAATACGATTTCATCCAGAGGAACAAAGAGTTTTAAAATGAACGTATATGGGAAATGGTGTATTTGTCCCTTGTGATTAACAATCTAGTATCAAAGTGTTGATCCTATTTGCAACTGTGCAAGGCGCACGTTGAGGAATATTTCTGCTTAGGATCTTAACGTTTTTGAAGGGGCAGCCGAGATTAACCGAATGGGAGATTGTCGAATTAATTAAGTCTGAAACCTATTTTATGATGTTAAAATAGTATATTTTTCTCTCTGTGGACGAACTAATCGATTCACAAAGTCATGGTGATAAACACGTTTTACATTTCTAGGTCAGACGATGACTTAATTAGCCCATTGTACAGGAATTAAATGTTATAAAACTATAACTGACAAACTGACAAGTTCAAAATCTGTATAAATATTATAACATGCTGCCTCTACAACAAAGGCTTACTGAATGGCTAACACACTAGGGGAATCTACGTCTTTTAGACATGTGATCAGAGAGAGGAATTCCCATGGTGTTTCCCAACTTAATTAACCGGAATTAATATATCAATTCCAAAACAATCAAATGTTATGAAACTATAACGATTGGGGGGGGGGGGGGTGATAATTGGAAAGTTTCGGTGAAATAAGCCATT